TCATTAGTAACAAAAATATTATTAATAGTATTAAATTCAGAGGCACTAACCGCTACTATTAAGAATTTCTTCCACATAATTAGATGGTATAATTCCTTTTACGCCTTCATATTCGGCTTTCCACCAATCATTTAATGACTTATCAAGTATGGAAATAATATTTCCCACTTTTATGTTAAGTTCATCTGAGTTTCTAGCTTCATAATCATAAAGAACTTTTGCTTTAGAAATTTCCTTTTCTATAACAATAATAATTATGGTTATAAATAGTTAGTATTATAATTATAATTTTAGTTTAGGAAAAAAAAAACAACTAAATATCAATATTACAATATATCTTTTTACCTTCTTTATAAATTTCAACATAAGATTTAGGAAACCATCCTTTAGCGCCAGTTTCTTCTACAACACCATACCACCAATCTGCATTTTTTTCATTTTTTGATGGATGTGCAATGAATACAGAACCGGCATCAAATTTAAGATCTTCAACGCCACCTGAGTATGGATAAAGTGTTTTAACCTTGAATTCTTTACTGTAATCAACTTCATCGCCTGATATAACATTTTCATCTCCCGTATTATATGTTTGAATGGTAGGTTGTTGTGCTGCTGAATTAATGGTAGTAAATGATGATGGTGATATTGGTGATATTGGTGAAGAAGTTGTTTCAACTGCAAGTTGATCAGAAGATAAACTACCAAACCATTCAGCAGAAATTCTACGCTCTGATTTTCCCAAACTTCTAGGTTTTGGTGAAATATTACCACTATTATTGTCATCATCACCATTACCATTATAATTATTATTAGGAATTGTGGTTGAACCAGATGACGCTGATGATGTTGTTGAATCAATACTACTTTCAGTCATTGAGCGCCCTGTTGTAATTCCTCCGCTACGGCTTTTAAGTTTTGGAATACCACCAGCAAATATACCCCCAAGACCTAATGGTCCACCTCCACTTTCACCACTATTATTACTGCTTGGTAAAGTCATACTACTGGAAGATTTCGGTA